TATTTTTTTTTTTTATTTTTATTTTTATTTATTTATTTTTTTTTTTTTTGTTTGGCTAATTGGTTATAAATCGAGATTGGATTTAAAAATCAAAATGGGTTTCATTCTGAAATATATTAGAAGCTTAGTCAAAATGTTACAAACTATTTTTGAGCTAAGTCAGTCAAGACTCAACATGATTGCAGTCTGAGCCATATGAAAAGCTTGGCCAAAATGTTTCAAATTGTTTCTATGTTGATTTGTTGCCGATTTCTATCTGCTATATAAAAAGTTTGGCTAAAATCTTGCCAAGACAGTTGGCAGAGAAAACCAGCATGATATGAGTCCGATCTATTTTAAACTGATTCACTTCTAAGAGACAAACAAAGACAAAAACACATTTTAAGACTTTCTAATATAATGTTAATCACATAGCTCAACTTATCTTATCTAAAATATATTTGCAGAGTCTTAAGCTGTGAGCCTGCATATCTTAATTATCTAATATAATGCCATATCGCAGACAAGGGGAAATTCCACTAGAAAAGCCAATTGATGAGCTTTACGCTTATCGATTTTAGCTCAAGACAGTTTTAATCCACCGTGAGTTCATTTCATTTAAATAAATATTGTATATATGAACTTTTTTGCTTAATTTAATAATTATTTTGCTCTATTTCTGTGTGGATGTTGCGCGCCTAATCAATTTCAATTGAAGGTGTCGCATGGCACTTGTTAAGGCTGATCTATTGAAGGCCTAGAGAGGCCTATCGAGGCCTATAACACACCGAAATAGCAACTGACGTAGGCGTCATAATTGTATTATAACACTTAAGCGAAGGTCATGCGAAAGATGTCGAGCGGCTAAACAGACATCAGCTTTCATCTATGAGTACTATGAGTGCGGCTAATTGTTGAAACTGCCCAGAGAGTTGATCCACTTTGTGCCTACCTTTTAGGCTCTGACACAATCAGACAGCATTTTGACTCACCGAAACTGCAAAGAGAAATAAATAAAGAGAGAAGTGTTTTAGTTTAGTCATGAAGTTTGCACTTAAGCACTATAAATTGTTTATAGACCTGTGATTAAAGTGTCAATAAAAAACAAAAACATAAATTGCAAAAGGGAAATGCCAATTACTTATAGATATACATATATAACTGAAGAGCGATTGGCAAATGGTATTCACCTTGAAGAAATATATTTTCTAATTGGAAGAATTCGCATGTGCTAAACTTCAGCTCAAACTCGATTGCTCCAAATGCAAAGAGAACATAGATTGAAAAAATATAAATTTGAGCATTTTATACACATACATTCTTATATAACCTTTCTCTTTATGTATACTTTGAACTCTGACTTATAATACCTTGAAATACATGTTTATATAGCCAACAATTCTCCCACAATAAATTAATTGCTTTGCTGCATTTAAACATAATAGAAATCAAACTAGTTTCTGTACATTTGTTTGCTTTTGTCGCTTATCTAGATTAGACTTTCAAATTTTTTTTGTTGAATATCAGATATACATATATAACATTTAACTAATTGCGAATAGTTATCATAGAAGTTGTCAAGATAAGCGAAACTTAAAAATAAAATCGATAAGGAAAAGAGTTAGATGGCTCCAATTGGATATGCTAGACTCTAAGATACCCTGAATGCATTGTAACGTTGTTGTTCTGAGTTCAGGGTTTGGCTTAGAGCAATAGAGAGAGACAAAGATCCAATGATCATCTCTAACTCCGTTTCATTCCATTTTGTTTCATTTCATTTTCAACTAATCTCATGGAAATGAAACAAGGAAAGCCTCATAATCTCTTGACCGCGTATAGATTTCCACCAGCTTTCATTTATCAATCTCAATCCTTATCAAGCTCATATAATCCTCTTACATCAACAGCTGCCTCTTACAGAGATCTCAGCATAAACAATATACCCTATATAAGCATTTCTCAAAGGGTTCCGACTATAGGAAACAGCAAAGCAACCTCGTCGTTCGTATCATATTGTAAAATAATGTAGCATTGAGTATCAAATGGCTGGGAAGTGAATAGAAATTAAATAGAAATAAAATAAATAAAAATAAAAAAAAACTGCACTTCCTGTAGAACAAATCACATTGCAATCAGCTGATCATTTCGTATAGCTAGACCAAGAAACCCTATATAGCTCCAGCCATACATAAATATATACATATACATATAAATATTCATTTATATATATGTATGCAAGTATTTGTTTGTTTGTTTGTATGCCCTAGACATGTGCCGCTAGATTTCTGATAACTGATGCCAACACTTGTGACGCACTTGGATAGGGGAATACGTGACTCTACAATTCCTAAATAGAAACGAAGAAATATAGAATACAGTAGTTACTCAATATGGGGTAACTCTTATTTGCATCAGCAAATATACAAAATTGCATTAAAACTGTATACAATTAATTAAAATATTGCATAATAATTTATAATGATTCATGTCAATGTTATCAAGTTCTGTTTAGCTAGCGTTCACTGTTACGCTTCATCTTCATATACATATATTATATACAAACATGAATCTATCTATTCAGACTCACAAACGTTTCATTCTGCTGCTGCTGCTGCTTGACAACTGATTATTATAGTTTTTTTTTATAATGCGCAAAGCGTAGACCGCCGTCTTTCACTTCCCCTCCCCCTCTCTCTATCATTCTCCCGCTGTCTCACTCTAACAATTCCAACACCTTTGTTGAGCAATTTGCGTATCAATGAATTTCGTGTTGTTTTCTCAGTATTATTATCTATACGCTGTCGGTCGCGCTCTCTCCCGCTCTCTCTCTCTACTTCTCCCCTTCCGCCTCTGAGTATTACACCTGTTTGCTTAGCTTGCCAATTGCAAGATTCATCCGCCGCTTCGGCGGAATCTGAAATTTGTCATCAAAATTTATGCGGAAGCTCGTGTTTTTATTTTTGGTTTCGCACACTCGCATTCCAAGGTTTTTGGGGGTCTCCCTTTGTGATAAGCTTCCCAAACTTTTCTGTGTCATTTGCCTGGTTAGCGCTGCTCATTGATAAGCTTCACGTCGATTTCCAATTGCTACGAATGACGCTGCCATTCCATATCAATTCAATTTGATAAGGCCAGGCCAACTCATATAGAGCCTATCTATAAAATAATATTCCACTTTATATTTATTTGTATGTACCTATAAAATAAATGTGATTGTGTGTATAAGGTGAAAGTATTTCGAGGTATGGAAATATTGATAGTACTTGATAGATTTTATAGAGTGGGTAAGCCATCTGAGAGTAGAATAACCTAAAGAGGATAAATGTAAGTATTATGGTTTCAAATAAACCTGAATTTTGATATGGGCTTATTTCAAAGAATTCTCTAGAAAGTAAACAAAAATAATAATATTTATAAATCAAAAACTTATTTCAAATATACATTAATCTTAAGTTTGAAAACAATCTTATACAGGGTATGTCAAGTATTCCCATATAACTGACACCTTTTCCTTATACAGGGTATATGCTAGTCAGCTCTACCCATGAAAGTCCCAATTTTTTCTAGCTTCCAGCGATTTCTGTCGCTATGAAATGATAGTGCAGCACGCATAATGCCTTATGTTTGGTCTCATTCTGCTCGAATACGTTTTTCTTTTATTGGGGGTGCCAAGAACTTTGTTGCCCGAGTTCAGTTTTGGGTTCCTTCTAATCTCGTTCGATTATACACAAACATTTGGGGCGTGTGTGCTGCAGCAGAGTATGTAGAATTTTAAAATTAGGCGATCGACTGACTGCGTGTGGATTTTCTAGCGTAAAGATTCTCTATAAAGATTTGTGTGTTATTTCAGATTAACAACATGAATGGCATTGACCTTGCCTGGGCTGGGTGTATTTAAAGCGCTTTCGAAATGTTTGATTGCGATTTGTGTTTCCATCTTATTTAGGGCAAAACTTTAGCAAAACTTTTATGGATCTACCTTATCATATTTTTTTGTAATTTTTGACCGCGACCTCAAGCAGTTTTGTTTTTTTTTTTTATAATATTTTTATTTTTTATTATTNAAAATGGGAAATCAGGGTATAATGGTTTTGTGAAAAGTATGTAACAGGCAGAAGGAATCATCGCAGACCCCATAAAGTATATATATTCTTGATCAGGACGACGAGCTGAGTCGATATAGCCCGTCCGTCCGTCCGTCCGTCCGTCCGTCCGTCCGTCCGTCCGTCCGTCCGTCCGTCCGTCCGTCCGTCCGTCCGTATGAGCAAAAGGATCTCAGAAGATATAAGAGCTAGAGAGCTGAAATTTGGCAAGCATACTCGTGTATACCATAGGCAGTACAAGTTTGCTTTATTTTTTCGATAACTCATCCGATAACTTTTTTATCGAGAATAATCGAAAAATCGACAATGTTTTTTCAGCTTATTTTGAACACTTTTAGACCTGGAGACTTCAAATTTGCGTTGTATATAAAGTTAATGGATACAAAGATTTTGTAATTTACAGATTTTGGATACCACGCCCCCTTCGCCCCCAATTTGTAAAAAACGCATTTCAAGTACTAGAGACTTGTGCTTTGAAATGTACACACATTTAAGCCATATGATTACGCTCTAAAAGTTTCATTAAGATCGTATGTCTACAAAAGAAATTATTCAACAAATAAATTCTCGTTATATTGCCCACACTGCAGTGCAGCCCAAGCGCAGCCGCTGCTAGCTGCGCAGTTTGCAAAGCGCGTGCTTATACGTGCATGTGTATGTATGTGTGCATAAAAGAAGTCCAGAATGATTAGAATATCAGTTTGGAGGGTTCAGGGTATCTCCTAGTCGAGCAGTCTCGACTGGAGCCTTCTTACTTGTTTTTATTTAATTATGAGCACAATTCATGCAAAAAGCGTATTTGGCTGCTCTTCTGGAGGGGTTACGCGCTCGTCTAACGGCACTTTTGGCACCCAAACAAAAATTAAAAAAAAAATTAAATGAAATGGCGCAAATGCCAAAAAAAAACCTTAAAAAAACAACAGCAACAACTGCAAAGTAAATACTTATGGTAATAGCATTTGAGGTCCGTTAGGAAACGGAGCAGTTGAGGGGCTCGTATCGTAAGTGGGTTAGCTGCTTCTGCTGCTTCTTCTTCTTTTTTGTTTTTAACTTTATTTTCATCTCCATATGACACTTCAACGGGGCCATAAAGAGTTGAAATTAAATATATATGTATACAGATATATATATAAACAAATGTATATATATACATATACAAATCACACCTGAGGGCATGCGAATAGTATAGTGCCACTATTTTGTGAGTGTGCGTGCGTCTGTGCGTCTCTTGCCAAACGAAGCGCAGCAACAACAAAATACAATAATATATTACATTAGAATTTCTAAGCAGGGCAGCATTTGCATAAGCAACTGCGTTTTATAGCAGGCAGACGGCGAGAGAGATTGCTTTTGGCTACATACTTGTATATTTATAAATATTCAATTTACTTTGCCAACGTTTGGAGAGCGCTTGGAGAGCGAAACAGCATGCATAAGCAATTTAAATATGCGGCTTGGCTGCTGAGTTTTATAGCAGCGAGCTGTGGTGCAGACGCTGTCAAAGCAGCGATCTTTGTTTGAGAAGAGACTGAAGGACGAAGATAAATGAGCGAGAGAGAGAAAGAGAGAGTGAGTGCTGTAAAACAGTGAGCGATGAAGCACTCAGCTTAAATAAAGTCGCCGTTACATAGCGAACATCTTATATAAGCTTGAGTTATATAGCATTCAGCTCTGCAATAAACCGCATGCTGCAGCTTTAAAGGAAAATAACTTAGCAATAAAAGAGAATTATGACTGAGAATAAGAACTTAACAGTCTCTATTTTTAAAAGATAACTATGGGGGAGTATTACAATAAAGGAACAAAATACTATCAGCTAATAATACTTTAATTATTAAAAGAGTTATGAAATAGAGTAAATACTATCAAAGCTATGTATATCTACTCTTAATAGTCCAAATCTCCTCAGTGAAATGTAGAACCTATTTTTAAATCAAATTATGGAGCATGTATCGTTTTATAGCAAATGGCCTTGTATATCTCATATGTATCCCTTTATACATAATTTTTTATTAACAAAAACTCAAGGCATAATTAATTAAAAAATTTCCAAGCAAAGAGAATATTTTACTAGCGTATTTTATAGCACAAGACCATTTATAGCAGCCAGCTTTTATAGCTAGCATGAAATGGAAAGCTGAGCAAAATCGAAACTCGAACACGTGCTACAAATCGATTACAAGAAAATAGCGCAACAAATCGCAAAACAAAAACAAAACAAACTAAGATTATTAAAAATTCTCTTCAGCAAACAAAGCGTTGATTAGTCTCAAAGGGGGGCCCCAAAAAATGGAAAAAAGAATAGCAACAAATGCAGAAATTTATTTTAAAAAAATAAAATTGGCTTAAATCTAGGTAAAATTTCACTCGTATCGGAACGTCAGCAACTATAACCGAAGAGGTTTGCTCTCTTTGTCTCCCTGTCTATCTCTCTCTCTCTCTCTCTTTCGTCCGCCTTCTCTCTCTCTCTCTCTATCTCTATACTTTAGCATGACTCGGCTGTTGCTTTGATTAACCCTCGTTTCGATGCTGATTTAAATCTTCTTTGGCAACAAAAGTCTCAGCCCCCTTTTGTTCCCCCCTTTGTTCGCCCCTTTGACTGCTCATTAGTGAACCGACGAACGACATTGACAACAATATCGATGCTTTTCTAAATTGATTTTTATTTTTTAGGTTCTCTGCGCTCTTCTTTTTTAGTTTTGTGCAAAAGTTTCACCTGCTGCCGGTTCGCTGATCTTTTATTGATTCACTATAACCACACAAAGTTGAAAAGAATTTCCATGAGTTTTCATCAAAAATTTTTCTATTCAGCGAGTCACCGCCGTGCCAGTCAAAAGCCATATACTTATGCTGGGCCAAAACACAGAACTAATTTGCCAAATGTATTTCAATGGAAAAAGCTGCTTTAAAAACCGCAAAAACAGCAGAGCTTTTCCAATCGGATGTCACCGCCCGCAGAATACTCATTCACGACCTTAACGTTGCCAGATCTGTTTTCAGATTTGCCACGATCCCAATGATATTTATTAGTTTTACGGGAATCAGTAATTTAATAGTTAGATTTTTCTTCTAGATATTAGCTTTAAAAGTGTAGAATATATATCCGCTATATCATCATTTATGATCTCTATTCCAACTTTCAAACCTTTAGACATAAGGAAGAACACCAATACGGACATTGCCCAAAACTAACATGCTCACGTCACTTTCCTGAATGAGTATAAAAACATATATATATTATTATTTCAACGCTAAATTCAATAAAACTTTGAATAGGTAAAGTGCTAAATAAATAGGCATAAAAAACTGCTTGGAAACAAAACGAAACGAAAAGAATTAAGTAAACAAACATAGTAAAATTGTAAAATTAAGCATAAAGCCGCAACAGCTCGCTTATCTGTAAACATCTTGCTAATGTCAGCTACTTTTATATAGTATATAGTATAGTATACATAGAATATATAGTATATAAATAGTATATATATATACCGAAAAGCTGAACCTTATCGGCCTGGTACGTTTACCTCAAGTGGCGCTACGAATTTCTCAGTTCTGTTTGTTTATAAACAAAGCAAAACACAACAAAAGTTAAGCTATATACATACATACATATATATACTATAGGTCGGGCGGAACTGTGAACGGGCTAATAGATTGAATGAAAGCTTCGGGCACAGATGTTCGGCAATTTGTATTCACAAATATTATTGAGCGCAATCCAACACCTCGCAATTATTTATTGCAAATGTCATCGGACCCAAGAATATTTAATTGATATTATACTTAAAACATCGGTGCTGAGATTTCTGATTAGATTTATGACTTCGAAACGTGCTATATTTTGGCAAAGACATCTCCATAATGCGATGTACATATATAGAAATTAATATAATATATGTGTTTTTTTTCCCCTTTTTTTTTGCAATCATAAAAGTTTTTAAAATTAATTTATTGTCCCATAAATCATTCACCATAATTCAATCTGATTTTTGGTAAGTGATTATAGGATACAGTTTAAATCATTTAATATGTCAAATATGTTTACATATATATATTCGCTTTGTAAATTTAATCATAATTTATTATCCCAATTTAAGAAATTTTCAACTGGGTTAACTTAAATAAAGCTCAGCTTTTTAGCTCATTTTTAGTTATAGCAAAATTTCTACATCAAATACTTAATAATTATTATTTTTATCTGTTACTTAATTTTCTTTTTTTCTTTTTGTAATTTATTTTTTATTTTTATCTGTTACTTAGCTTTCTGGTAATTTTTTTCATTCATCAACTTAAATATTTTTAAAAAACATTAACAACAATTGTTTAGCTCTTAATGTTTCTATTCAATTGTTAAATGAAATACTACTCCACTATAATACATATAATTAATTTGTATATAACTATTTTAATTCATTCTACTTTTATCTTTGATTAAAAAATGTACATTATATTTCATCCTTTTCATTTTAATGAATAAGAAATGCAATTAAAAGAGTTTTCGTGCTGCAACTTCATTTCATATGAATACAGAAGGCAAAGCAAAACTCCTTTTATTTCGCACTCGCTCACACTCACAGCACACACACAATGTCCTTTTCTTTTTTTTTTTCGAAGAGATGCTGCACAACTCTCCCTGTTCTATGAGCTCAGTTGCAAAAACTCTCTTTCGCTCTCAGCTTTTGACATAAAAAAAGAAAACAGAAAAAACAACTTCATGCAGGGCGCGCAAAAAAAAAAAACACATTCCTATTTTGTTGTTGTGGTGGCTGCAGACAGACCAAAAGGTTTCTCAATTGTCTCTGTGTGTGTGCAAGCCTATGCTGGCCGTAACTGTATTGAAAATGTGCTTCTTCTTTACCTTATGTTTATTATGGTTGGTGTTGCTGGTGCTGTTGTCGAAGCCCAAATTCTAATTGGAATCGCTTTAGTAAATTGTTGAAACACTTTTAATTTGTTTTGTTAAACTGTTAAACACTTTAGTATTGAATGAATATGAATATTATTTTGTTATGCCGTTAGATTTTTAAAATTATTTTTATTTATTTTATTTTTTATGCAATTAATTTATATTTGCTTCTTTCCCTCTGAGCGTTTCATTCAAAAAATTTTTTCGCGTCGTCGCGTTGTATTTGATTTACCGTTATTAACGAATTTCACTTTCAATTTTTTCTTACGGATTTATTTTTATTTAAATTTTTATTTATTTTTAACTGAAAATATTGCCGCGTTTTATTGCACCGACTCCGATTACGAATAGAACACAAACATCAGCGACTGCAGTTTCTTTTGGGATGCTGCTGCTGCTGCTGCCGCTTCTCTCACAATTGAAATCAACAATGCGCGAGCAATGCGAAAACAAATGACAAAAACCTTTTGGGCAACTTGAAAGCGAATTTCAACTTTCCGCTCCACACAACCGCACAGCGCGAAAAAATTTTCTGAACTGAAATCCAATAAGAGTCTGCTGGCAGCAGGCAGCGCAACAGTGACAGCCAGCTGCAAGCGACGGACAAAAGCAACGAAAACGAGTCGAAGAAAGTTCGGATAATATACACGAGTACATGCCCTGTAAAATACTAAATGTTGCACGTAAGTAGTTTAAAAATATTCCATGTATAATATTCGATTGTTTTATTGAAATTTTTATATTATATACGAACATCATCTCATTTATATTATTAATAACATTTAAAATGTTCATATTTGTATATTATATAAAATATCTGCCAACGAACCGTGTATACCCCATATTACTGTATACACTCAGCAGGCAAACGCACGACGACAACAACAATACAAAGTACAGCTCTCAAAAGTAGCAGCAACAACAATATCTGTTTCACTGCAAACACAATGTAGAGAGCGAAGAGAACAAGAGAGATTGAGAGAACGCGCATGTGAGAGCAACGCACCACCAACAACAACAACAGTAGCAAGCAAAAAGTAAACACAGTGGAACAGCATAATTATATATAAGAGCGTAAATTCAGAGAGAGCGAGGCAGTGAGCAGCAAAGGTGTGCGTGTGGGTGAGCTATCGGCCCTGCGTGTGTGTGTGTGCCTAAGCGGGCTTTTTGTTGTGGGTTTTGTGACGACATATGTGTGTATGTATGTTGATAGAGAGAAAGACGCAGAGTAAATAACATGGAGTAATGTTAGAAGTTTTGACTGTGGAAAGACAATATTTATGTTAAGTATGTTTTATCTAGATAAACATTCATTGAAACAGCCACCCCCAAGAACACATTACTTCGATTTCAACAAACACGAGCCCACATTAAATATATATTACCCCCASTTCACTTTCATAATAGCATGCAGATCGATCATGTTGCATGCGGCTCTTAAAACAACCCTCATTGCATGTAATAACAGCACATTAAATTACTTTCAACGAAATGCGAAACACTTCACTCATGATTATCATGCCCGCATATGACCGATGGCCATCGAAATTGCATTGTTACGAGCTGTGTTTTATTGGCCTTCATACGAACACTTGAATTTCAACCCCCCGAGTGTTGATAAATTGCCGCGTGACAAATCTGTGCAGCCGATCTTGAAATGTAGGAAATCAAAGCGATTGACAGTCTGGCAACGCTTTAAGCGCCACTTTGGAGCAAAGTCAAAATGCAAATGCAAAATAATTTCTTTACCGTCGCGACGGTCGCTCTCTTGTTATTGTTGCTATCTCTGTCGTTGCTGGAGAGCATGCAAAGACAGTGTATGCAAACACAATTATGAGCGTGCTCATCCGTTCGCTCTCACTCTCTCTCTCTCTGTCTGACTGACGCTCTCCAGCTGTTAACAGCGCCGCATGTGGTAGCAATAACAACATGATGTTAAATAGCAGTGTCGCTTAACAATCAATGTTAGAAATTAAGATTTATTGCCCGAGGCAAGATTTTCCATCTATAATCACTAATTCAAAATAAAATATATTATATTTAATGAAAATTACGTATATATTTTACACAATAATTCGATTAAAGCGTGACATAGAGGAAGTAACCCGGCAGCTGATAATGTACCAACATGAACAAATCTTGCGTTGCGACAATCTGCGGGCATTTGTACTCTTATCAAACACAAATGAGAAGAAGAAGAAGAAGAAGAAGAAGAAGGGGGACAACAACAACAAAATGTTTATTCCAATTACAGCATACGCAACAGCTGGTGACAACAGGCCAACTGAAAGATCGAGTAAGAAAACCAGAAAGAAAACAAAATAAAAAAAGCAAAAACAAAATGAAATGAAAGGAAAGAAAAATAAGAAATCAAAACAAGCTCAACAAATCGAGCACAGACGATGGAAAATGTTGGGGATGTGCTTTGAATAATTACGATCTCTCGATCGGGCCCGGGTGCTAACATACCCAAATCATGGCCAGAACAAATGATATGGAATTGTGTCGATCACGAGCACACGCCCCGAATTGTCAACATCGTTCAACAGGATTGTTGAACTAATTTTTATAGCCATTCTGATAGCGATCAAAATGATGACGTTTCTGGGGGGAAAACAGGTGCAGCGGAATGAAGAAGGTATATTAATGAAAATTGTAGTAAAAACAATGAGACGCTGTAAAGAAAAGGTTAAGAAATATATAATTATAATAGCAGCTGTTTGACCCATTAGGCAAATTGAGTTTACTACCTCTATTGGGGTTTTTTTCTGTGTTTAAATTTTAAAACTAAAGACTTCGTGTTAGACTTTGCTTTCCATTTATTTTCTTATTATTATTTCTTTTAAATATTATTTAAACTTTTTTTGCCAAAATAAAATTTCAATTAATTTACTTAAAGAAA